AACTCAAGAGAAGCCCCAGTAAGGGAAACTATTTATTCTAGCTTAGTGCACTCCCAGCCACCCTGGTTATACTTCCTTTCTGGCCAGGACAGCTTTCCGAGGCTGTGGAGGATGGGAGATTGCAGCAGCTTTTTGTCTCCACAGTCTACTCTCCTGGTGGTCTGGCCACCTGGAGAGCTCCGTGTCGAGGTTTTTGAAGCGAGCCTGTGCCGTGCCTGGCCCGATACCTTTCGCAGGCATTTAAAACCCCAAGAAATGTAGCAAAGAAAGGGCTTTATCTATTTCTGTAGCGGGCCGAGATTTTGAGGTTCTTACAAATGTAGGTCCCTGCCCCAATAGGAGCAGTCATACCCGTAGCGTGTGCCAAATATGTGCATGTGTGTTTACACACAGTGTGCCATGATACTTTATGTAGGCATTTAGTGGCTTGGACATCTACCCCTTGTGATGAATTTGAAAACATCATTACAGGAACTTAAATAAATTAGAAATAGAAGCTAAAAGTAAACAATAAAAGAGCTGCAGCAGACTTTTCTTTCTCCATGCTACTATTTTAATCCGCCTGTGAAAACCCGGGTAAGTTGATCAGCCCCTTGTAAAAATGTTTCCATAAAACAGACAAACCTTTGAAATCGGATCTTCTAAGAAGGCTTTGTTATTGTATGACATGTCTGATGGGTAGATGCGTCTATTGTCAGGACAGTCTTCCATATCGTTTTACTGTTTTGCTGCACTGCTGGTGTTTTATTTTCACAAATTTCCTCTTCAGTATTTACCTGTGGGGAAGCAGCTCTTTTCTGTTTTCAACAGAATTTTTATACGTTTCATAGGAAGACTTATTTATACTTCTAGGGAATGGAAGGTTCTTTAAAAGACTCTCTAATGAGCCATTAAAAGCGAAGCACACGTGAAATGAAATTTGTAAGTTATATTAAAACGTCAAGTTCAGTTTCAGTTCCCAGAAACAAGGGCACCAAATTTTGGGTTCCTTTTTTTTAAGGGTTTTCTTTTGGTTCTTAACCTGCCTCGTATTCTGCAACTTGGCAAAAATCGGAGCCCTCTGATTCTTAGTTTAGTGTTTATTCAGCTATAAAGAAGTACAATGGCAAAAGTGAAGAAAAAAATGGAAAAGTTTATTACTTTAACTGCTCGTGCATTTGTAGTTTTTACTTTTGATAGCAGAAAGGGGTAAAAAGAGGTTGGTTTTGGTATTGTAAAGAATATTATCCTATAAGTGTGTTAGAATCAAGAAACAGATCAAATACTGTGCAAATACAATTAGCAAGTATTGAAGCTTTACATTTTTTTCAGTGTCTAAAAAAGCCCGTATCCATTGCGAAGAAAAAGGAAGCGGCTGTGGGTAGGTGAGGTGTGGGGCTTTTTCCTTTTTGCTGAAACCACCATGCCAGTGTCTCGTTTTCTGTGTGTGGGAAACAAGTTGGCAGGAGTTACGTGGGAAAACAGTGAAGGCAGACTGAGATAGAAATAGCTTTTGAAGGTAGAAAGAGTGCAAGTGAGGGAGGAAGAAAGTAGGTGCAATCTGCAACTTGATTTTCTATGCGGTCAAGTAGAGCAGTTGAGTTTCAGCATCAACTCTGACATATCCTTTTGCATGAGAATGGAGCAAAAAGATTTGGTATCTGTCTCCTCTCAGGTCAACGTGCTCCATCTTGGTCGCATCTCTGCTACTTCTCGTGCCGTTTAGAGAGCTGATAGTTACTCGTGAGCGAGATTTTTGGATGCAGGCAGGGAGGGCATCTCACCGTGGAGGCGGCATCCTGCCTCAAACAGAGTTTTCTTCTTGCACTTTGTTGTCTTCAGAAAAATAATACCAATAACCTTTCATTTGTGTGTGTGGAATGCTTGGTAAAAAAGAACTGTCAACAAAATAAATTTATGTTCAAGATGGTAATGCTGGCAACCAGGCATTTACTACTCTCTTACATTTTTGTTTTGCATTTTAAGTCTTGGAAAGAAAGAAAAATTACTTTTCAATATTAAAGGGTCAGTAAGTAAGAATGAACAACATATTGTGGTTGTCATAACTGAATATATATACCTTGTCTTGTTAGAAAAAAAAAAGTAATTTTTCCTGTTAATTGACTTATGCACCTTACTTTTAAAAAAAGAAATACTTAAGTTTTATCCTATATAAGCAATCTTTGATGTTTTAAATATTATTTTACATTCCAGTGTAATACAGTAATAAATATTTCTATTTTTATATGTATATCCTTTATAATATCCAGCTATTTGCAGTTTAAAAATATTTAATAGAATCTGGATTGTTTGCTGTGCTTATAGTCCTAGGAAATATCTGACATTATAATTCACGGACATGTGCACTCCTGCATAATAGAGAGAAAATTACTTGAGTTGTCCTCATTGTAGAGATGTTGTACAACACATGATAAAATTTGACCATCTCTTTAGTACGCTGATAGTTTCAACAAGAGAGATGAATGATCTGGAACAAGTATAGAGTGTAATTTCCTCATGCTGTTACTAGTAGAGTGCAGTGGGTTATGCTCAGACGTTGCCTGAGTAGTTCTTCTTGTGCTCTTGCATGTATCAAGCTGAAATTTAATATCATTAGAATTTCAAACACTGTGGGAAGAATACTGGATACAATTTCATTATTAGATAAAGGAAAAAAAAACAACCCTACTATTGTAACTCTTTAGTTGTTTATAGATAAAATATGGCTTTATTTTATTGCAGGACAGAAGAATCCTTTTGTGAGGAATTAATTGATACATTCAGTCACCTATGAAGATTTGAATTTTGCTTATGAATAAAATTTCACTATTTTTATAAGAAACTGTAGTGTTATTTTTGGCCTGTGGTATTTAATTTACAATGAATATATTTTACTGTACAAGTTTTCTTATTTTAAAAACTCTGGTTTAGGAGGAAAGAGAACATTTTTTTAGAAATGCCCTGAGGAAATATTTGAAAGCACAGCAAGTTGTCTGTCACTGTAATGATGTAAGACTGGAATGACTTTTTTTTTTTTTATTATTTTGATATGCATGTAATATGATATTTTCTGTAAGCCAACATTGCGCCTCATTGAGACCATTTTGGAATTAACAGCTCTAGGTTTTAAAAATAATTTAGCCAAAAGTCAGATACGGAGGGACTGAAAGTAGAGTAACCAGTAAATGGTTCATGACTTTGATTTCATGAGTGCCTTTGATTTCACAAGACTTCCATTGATGGATAATTTTATTTCAAAAATATTGTGCCTGTTTCAGGATGCTAGAGTGCAGATACCAGATACTAGACCCGAGCTGGGTTGTTCTGATTGAGACATTCAACTTTCATGAAAGATGTGACGTGCAGGTGTCCATGCAACTCTAGACCATAGCTGTCCACCAGCCTTGCACTACATATGGGTGTTGTAGCAATTCTGTTGAGCAAATCTATTGAAGTAATTTATCCATGACTTAGCTGATTTTTTTGTTTGTCACAGTTCTGGGAAACCAAGGGGTTTTGCTGTCATGGAAGGAAAGAGGTGGAGATATATGAGGTAATTGATGTGGCAAGAGTAGTATCCCATTTTTCTAGTGCTCTCTTAGCATTTCTTTATCCCATCACAGTCCTGTGTCTCTGATCCTTCATGCATAGGTAGCAGGACAAAATTTTACGTATACTATGAAGATGTCTGAGTCAGTTCTTGATCCTGTTAATCATAACATGGAAAAAAAGGTGCCCATCTTTTTTATGTTAATAAAAGAACTGAGATAAGAGAAAGTGAAGGATTTCAATGTTCTTGAATCCTCTGTCACTTAAACAAATAAGTAAGTAAATAGGCAAAACCGTTGTTACTTATTTATAGCATCCTTCTTGAGTAGGTAGTGTGGTTGATACATGAAGAAATTGTTTCAAAGTTGTGTGTAGCACGGAGAAATTTGTGAAGGTTTTACACATATATATATGTATATGTGTAAAACCAGGAACCGTAGCTAGAATCCTTGAATACCCCGTTTCTGCTGTGTGGGACTGAACTGAAATGTAGGTTTCGGAAGCAAAGAACAGACAGTAGTCAGCTGAAAACAAACGGCATCTTTTTGCACTTTACATGAAGAAGAGAAGCTGCAGAGAGTAAGAGACCTTTTCTCTAGGCTGCAGTTCACCCACCCAGGTGATGGTAGGGCTTAGGTAGGACTTAAGCTCTCTAGACTCACTGAGCTGGACTGGTTACAGGTGGAGTTTGGTTGCAACCTACCCTCGTTTTGGACACTGAAAGACCTTCACTGGTCTAGTGACCTGGTCTAGTGGGAGGTGTCCCTGCCCATGGCATGGGGGTTGGAACTGGATAATCTTTAAGGTCCGTTCCAACCCAAACCATTCTATGATTCTGTGATTCACTGGGTCTTCAACAGCCTCTCTGAAAGAGTACAGCTACCAACAAGTAGTAAATCTGTCAGCAATATTGTATGAACACTGTCATCTCTTTATGATCTCTTGTCATTTAATCTCGCAGCGTAGACTTTAAGAGCCTCTCATGTTACTACGTATAAAAATGTTTATCTTCAATTCATAGTAGTTTCTTCCATATCTTAGCACTAGTTGCTAAGATATAGCACAATTGAGATAAAATACCTGATAACATTTCACATTTTAAAATAGTTATTTGGGAATTTTGTAAGCAAAGGGGGCTGCAAATACAGAATTATTCCTGGTAGTTCATATGCTACAGCTTTGCCTACTTTTTTCAAATGTTCCTGCAAACTGGATTTTCCTCCGTTTCTTCAATTTTTCAATTTTTTCCACTCTGTGCTTTAGCATACATTCTTGCAGCTCCTTTGTTCCTTTAATCAGATTACTTTGGTTTATATTCCTTGCACCACAATGAGTGATCCATTTCTGTACATACAGGTGTATTAACCTTCTTGTTATTAATAACATTTTTTCTTTTTATTTTTCTGGAGACCACCTACTTTGTTTCTTTTTAACTTATTTTCATAACCTTGCAATAAACCTCTTTCTTTCAGGTTTTCCTTAGGAGATGCTCGCAGGCCACTCCATGAAACTGCAATACTGGTGGAAGACATCGTCCACACTCAGCTGATAAATTTGGTAAGAAAATTACCTTATAAAATAATCTTCATTCTAAAACTCCTTGAAATGGCATGAAATTTTCATGATCAACTGACTAATAACAGATTGTTCTGTTTTTAGAAACAAATAAAACACAGAAATGGAGGGTGACGTTCTTTCTTCAGTAATCTGTAGCAGCTACTGTTGGGCTTGCAGATAGTGTGTGTGCTGTGATCATGGCTATATACTGCGTTTGTGTGATATCTGCAACCCCACCTAACCTTGGGAATAAAGCTGATGTGGTTTTTTGTCAAAAACTTCAAGTTGTTAAAGAGAAAAAAAAAAAGGCTAGTCATCTGAAGACTTTATTGCTATTTTTTTATGTCCTAGTATTTGTGTTAAAGCATTATTTGCTTAATATTTATGTTCTAATAGTCTTACTATTTGATGTTTTGATTTCTGTCAAAAAATGCAGAAATACTGAATATTTTTCCTAATTGAAAGTCAGTGAAAGGGGTGTATAAATGAGGCTGTTTTGAATTTTGTCTGTCAGAAGCAGCTCTGAATTTGAACCTCTCCATAGTTTTTCATTAAAGTTTAACAACGCCTCTTAAGAAATCAACGCCGATATTTCACACTATGGCACGAATCTGCCATCTGATGTTTTGTACAGGAAGGTATACTCTTATATGTCACCTGTAGCTTGGGAAGCATAACAAATGGGTTTTTTTCTTATTATAGTGATTCTTCAACGAAATTACCAGCATGTATGGCTATAGATATTAGATGGAACTAATGTATATCAATAATACTAATACATATTATAAATAATGTTTCTATATGTTGAGTCCCTGGATCAGCTAGAGCTCTGAGCTGCAAGTTCCTAGGTCTTTTCTCTATAACAAGCCCTTTCAGCAATCAGAAGAGGTTTTAAGTTGCAAGATAAGTTCCGTTACTACATTAATCAGAATTAAAAACTTTTGTAAACTGAGAAAATTCAGAATGGGGCAGACCATGTACTAGAAATATATATGTGTTTGTTTATGTGTACGTATAATATATATTTATATTTTATATATTCTTATTTTATATATTTATACACCCAAGATTTTTTTATATATTTATAATATTTAAAAATAAAAATTCACTATAAATAAACCTCCCCTGCCTGCTGTTTGCCTGCAGACAGGTGTTTTCCTTCAGCTTTGCACTTAATCCAGGAGCCGTTCGGTGCCTTCCTGCATGGCAGCAAACGCTTCAGGGTCCCTTCCAGCTCTGGATAGTTTCTTTCTCCTGGTACCTCCGAAGCCCGGCGGTGTACCCCTGTCTCTGCAGTCTCCTGGCACCTTTGTGCTGTGGCTGCTTTGCTTATTATTCTCCTCCTGGTCTGTCCCGAACGTGCCCTGTGGCTCCTTTGGGGGGTGACAACCTCTTTCCGCGTGTTTCCCGCTAGTTAAACACGCTGCTCCAGGCATGTATTTGTAATTCTTATTCTAGGTCTTAACTACTACAAAATCGCATTTTCTTTTTGTTAATGACCCCCTTAATTTCATGCAAACCGATGGCGACGGCTTCGCTCTTCCTTGGCCAGTAATGTGGTGAAGAGTCTGTGCTTTTACGTCCCACCGAGGCTGAGCCGAGTGGAGCTTTACACCAAAACCTGTGTTTTGAGTAAATCCAACCTGCAGCCATGTGGTCTCTGCGCTTAAATCAAAGCCGGGCACTTACTCGGGGAATGACCATGACCCGGGGTTAACCCTGCGTGGGGCGTAGGAGCGTGTACGATTTCCTGACAGAAGGAAGAATGGGAACGGAGCGGCAGATAAACAGCTTTTCTAACCTTTCCCCTCCGAGCCTGAGACAGCACTTTATTTCTGAGGAAGTGAAAGTATCTTTAATAGCTCATTGCTTTGACCTCTGACATTCACATGCCGGAACTCTTAAATCAGGAGCTTTTTACATGCTCTGGACTTCTGATAGGGATTTTTGCACATTTGTCATCCTTAATAACTGCACATCCTTACTGAGCTGTTACTGTGTAGTTATATTGAATTTTCACTTTACATGTAGGTGTTCATGTGGGTATATCTCCAGTACTAGAAAAAAGCTATTTTTATAATTGAAGCTGACTGCAGATGTAAATTTATTGCTTACTACCTGGGTTTTGACATATTACTCATGTTAATGGACTAGAGAGTTCTCATTATGTAATTTAATGATTTCTTCTCAAAATTCATGTCCGTTTTGCCACCCATAATAAGTGTATAAGGCTAACCTGTAGAAGTTACTTATATGCCTGCAGTAAAGCTGGCACGTTGCATAGTAAACATTTGTAAGAAGAGTTCATAACTGTTGATTATGTCCAGTTTTGAGCTTCTGAATTAAAAAAAAAACAGTTGCCAGTGTGATTACCTATGATTGGTGTACTTCTAATATCTCAGAGGTTTGTAGTTCCAGTTTCCTATTTTCAAAGTTGATCTGAACTCTATTAAATCAGGGGTTCGTTTGGACAGATTTATACAGTCACTGCTTCAAACCACTATACACTTCATGAGCTGCTAGAGCAGATGACTGCACTAATAAGTCACATTATTGACAAACAGACTTTTTAAAGTCTGCATCACATTTTATGATTTATTTTTTTGTGTGTGTTGTGAACAATATCTATGCTGCTTTACATAAAGCAAAATTCTGCTAAAAGTATATGCCAACGTGTAGAAGGCAACGAGCATCTCCAGAGGATGATTTGCATCATCCTAAAATTAGTTTCTGGGTTAGATGGGATAAATCTCTTGAGGATTTTATTTTCTCAGCTCACTAATAAAGGGATCCTTTGGCGGCTTGCTGGGGTTTGAATATCTAGAAGATAGGCATAAAAGTTGAGGGAGAAATTCCATCCAATTTGTGTCAGAATGCTAGAAGCATGAGTTTGAATTTTTTTTGCATATATTGTAATTATAATAAAGGTTTTGTTATTTGCGTGTCAAGCACTATAAAACAAAAAAAACCACCCTAGAATGAGAAAGTTCTGTACATTTTATGTTCAAGCATAATGTATTTGAAGAGCACAATGAATTCAAGTTTTAATCTAGGATCAAATTCACTGTTGACTGATAGTGTTTGTTTAGTAACTGGTCTATATGCATTTATAGATGCCTTAATGTTACCCCTATAAGCATATTTATTTGTGTGCTAAGACTAGAGATTCCAATCAAGGCTGTACTATTCTTTATGGTTAAGCACAAGTTGTAGATGTCTGTCACAAGGAAAACTGTGCCTACAAAAAGGGTTCAACAGGCGATGCACGAAGATGTTAATCAGAAGAGGACAAGATTTTAAATTGTTTACAATTTGAAGTGGAATGAGGCCTCTTTTAGATTGTTCTTTCATCATATCCCATACAATTTGCATGTATTTTGAAGTATCATTTTTATAATAATCTATTAATATCTATTCAGACCCTTAGAAAGGGAACTCAGAGATCCCGCTTTAGCACAAGTCAGTATTATTCAGAGCTTCATCAAGAAAAAGAGGCTGTAACTAAGAGAAATGAAGTAGAAATTTTTCTTGGTTATTAAACTACCATTGACAGCTTTGGCATCAATAAAGCTGAAGTCTTGCACATACATGGATGTAAAAGCACCTGGAAATTGTTTCATATAACATTTAAGAAAGAGGAAAATTGTCTCCTCACCTTCACAATCTCAGTCCTGAATTTTTGTCATGGTAGGCTGGATCATCAGACAATGTAGTGTTATTAGACTATTAAAAACTAAAGATTTCTTAGTATCTTCTCTTGATAGGGCCACAGCTCCATGTTTGTGCTTCAGATGTCATGTTCAAAGGCTGGTAGACAATAAGATTGCGATGTACCACTTAAATCAAAAAGGCTGTTAGACAGTTATCTTCCTTGTGTTGGGAATGTATCAACTGGGCATTTATTATCAGCATGAACTACGAGCAGTTTACTCTCTGGGCATGCTGAATACGGTACAAGTACCACTCACACCTGTTTTCACAGAATTTGATTATTCAGTTTAGCACTAGACCTGAACTTCCGTCCTTTACGTTGTGTTTCTGAGATATCAAATGGCTTCTGGGAAGAGATTAGTTTGTTTTTACAAAGTGAAAGGCATTTTAGCAGTAGCAGAGTTCAGCAAGGGAAGATGAAAAATTACACCTATGCATACCAAAAATACAGATGTGCGTACAAACAGCAGAGCCCAAAAGTCCCTTCCTACTGGTAATTAACCTGACCTGTCCATGAAAGGCTGGCTGCTGAGAGGGAAGGCCAGAGCACATTGCGACGGCCTTGGACTGCATCCTTCAAATGTTTTCCCCACTGGAATTCCCTGTAAAGCGTGGTAAGTCATCGCAAAGACTGTCACGAATGATAGAATTCATGGTAACGGGGTTGTGGTTTACTGCCTGTCAGCTAACGTGTATCTGCTAGAAGATGGACTCTGATCTCTTCAATTGATGTCAAATGATTTAAGTCAAACCCACTCCGTTGGCTTTTTTTAGAATGCAGTAGTGTCAGTTTAAAGGAACTTCAGTTGCTCCAAATCATGTTGTACATGATATCTGTTGGGATTTTTTTGATCACTTACTTTTATGTTCCTATGGAAGCATTTAATTTCCTACAACTTGTGCTGCTACCTAATACTTATTAATGTTCCACTCTTGCTTCCGTTGTAAGGGCATGATTTGGGTCTCATGTTACATAGATGCATATATGAACACTTTGCGTATACACTAAGATAATTTTGGTTTTTGTCTGGTTTATTACTATTGGAAATTAATTATTTCTTTACACAGATAATATATTTAATTCAGAACCAGTCCTTTGGTCTCAACCGAAGCACGTAACACAGGTCAGCAGGTGAATAACCCATACTGGAATATATAGTTTATTTCAAATTGTGGCAGTAATTCATACATAGAACACTTAGAGTGAGATGCAGTGATTCAGCAGTGTGTCAAGTCCTGAGTAAGTCCATAGTAAATCCATCCTGTGGAGTAAATTGCTTTTTACAGTA